AAGTTGTCCGTGCCGGGGGCTTTGTACCCATTGCATTCTCTTAAGCAGCTCTCAGTTTCCTCCTCAGAAAAGTAAGCTTCCAGCATCTCATTATTGTGAGGTTCTAAGGCTACGAATAGTAAATTGTCAAGTTGGGGGCGGACAGAAAATGCAGCTTCTCTCAATGCATCATTTCCCAAAAATAGAAGTCCCATCAATCCACATTTCTTCCACATAATTGATTCTTCTTTGATGATTTGCTAGGCAGTGGAAGAATTTGGTGTTCCTATCTCCCTCCTTAAGCCACTTCTCCCCAGACTTCTACTTCCAAGAAATGGCTTTCATGTGAAGCTTATTGGCCAGATCGAGTTTCAGATCATTTCTCCTGCAAGCCCTCTTAATCAAGACCAACAGACCCCTCAATACTGTCAAGACTGCTTAGCTCAGTCAAAGACTCATCAATGTTCCCCTCCTCCTTAAGCCCCACTTCCTTGGTCCATTTCTTAATCTCCGTTTTCAGAATCCTAAGTTCAGAGGTGATTCGAAAACTGGCCGACCCCTTCACCTCAGAATTGCACCAACCATAACTGATAATGCATTTGAAGTTATCAAGTAGAAGTCATTTATTATCAAGACGGATCGGCACCAGATCCCCATCTGATGCCATCAGATATGAGAAGAAGGGGGAAATGGTCCGAAAGCGGCCAGGGAAGAATCTTTTGAATTAAAGCAGGAAACTCAAGGAGATGATCAATAGTAATCAGGAACCTGTTGATTCTGGAAAAAGAGAGAATTTCCCTTTGATTGCTCCAGGTCCAGGAGCCACCCGTGAGGGGAAGATCCGCCAGATCGAGAGAATTAATAATATTTCTGAAGTCTGCGGCACTGGCTGCCAAGAAATGGCCCCACGATCTTTCACTTCTACCAATGTCATGTTGAAATCATCCCCGATAACACCCTCATAATCCCATCTGTTTTGGCAGTCAGAAATTTCTGCCTGAAGCTTAGACAGCTCCTCATTGTTTTCTTTGCAGTAAAACCCAGAAAAAAACCACTCCACCCCATCTTGACAATTTTTAAAAAGGCAAGCACAAGTGATGCGGAACCTAAAATCAATTAACGGAATTCAAAACCCCACATATAATAATGTGGAACCCAAGATCAACTAACGTGATAAAAAATCCCGCATATACATTAGCAACCAGAAACTTAAAACCCCAAATAAACCCTCCTTACTTGACCCAGACTCAACAAGAAGTGAAAACCAAAATAATAGGGATAAATGAATTGATTAGAACGCCATAAAAAGAATCTTAATAAGTTAAAATCAATTCGAGAAAAGAGAATGATAAAGACGTCACAAATTATCTTAATAAATAGATATCAATTTCTCACTCAACAAGAAGGTTGAAGAAAACCTTATTAGTTGAAAACTACAACTTCATAATTTTATTGATTGAAACTTAAATTATTATAAGTAAGAATTGATAACTTACTTATAATATTGACCATATAAATAATAAGAAAAATAATATCCTAATTTAATGAAAAAATTACATAGGAAATTAAATATAAAATAGAATAGAAAAACTAACAAAATTAAAAGAACTACAACTAAAATAGGATAAATACGATCTTCCTTCTTAAATAGGGAAGATCTTAGCTAATTATGGAGATTTAGGGGAAGAAATTCTCACAAGATATTTTCCTCTTTCTCAAGTGTTTTCTCTTTCCGTAAAATTTGACATTTAAGAAGTTTTCCTATTTCTCAAAATATCTTGCGATTTAGGATCAATTTCATCCCTTAACCGATTCGTCCTCTTAAGAAGAAAGATTTCCCGTGGGATTAGGAAAGAAAATCACATGGGGGTTTTCCCTTTCCTTACTCACATCAACAAGTGATTTCGCCAATAAAATCGTCTTTACAAGCTACTTGGAGTTTGTCCCACAAAATCAGAATATCAGCCATGGTGCCCTTGGCCGGGAAATAAATCCAACCCACCTCATCTAAATGCTAGAGGCTTCGGATAATAAGAGTGGTCATCTCTTGTATCCTAGTTTCGTTAAGACAAATGATCGTCGTATTCCAGCGACTAGGCTACCCTTAATAATGTTCTTCTTATTCAAGTCATCTACCCCTCGCCCCCACATTCCAGGAGAGAATGCAATTAATCATTTGGGCATTGTGATCCCTCCCCCTCTTTCTTGTTCCTTCTGCTTTTACCATCATAGTTGATCGAGGATTGAAACCTCTTTAGTTCCCTACACCCACCTTCATTTTGTTTTTTCCTTTTCTTGACTGTAGAATCAATACTAGATTACTCTTCGTTCATTCTCTTCTCAAATTCAGTTAATAAAACAAAGTGTGTTGCTCGAGACCATCAAAAGTAACCCCTAAAGATTTGCTCACCCTTCTGATGTTGCGCAGAACCCAGTTAGAATGATGTTGTTCTTCTTTGGCCAATTCGACTAGCTCTTTGTCAACAAGGACGGTAGGTTCACAATTTAAAGGACCAACTTCGTCCGACATGGGAACATTCAACGCAACAATATCAAAATCAGAACATTGAGCGGAGGAATTTGGCATACCTTCCACATTCTCTTGAGGGTTGGTCAAAATAAGAGCCAGTGGCCCCTCTAATTCGTGAGCTTTCTCCTCCCAGCATCCTCTTCCATTTGCAAAGTAGTTGGTGAAGAAGGGGCCTCTTTTTCATTAGGACTTGTCAAGGGAGCAGGGAGAAACGGGGAGCCCTAGCCTCCTCCAAAAATTTAATTGGAGAGGTTTTCTTCTTCTTGGCCTCCAGAACCATTTAACTTTTGAGCTATTTTTTTTCTTAACAGTTCTGCTCGGCCTAGCTTAATCAACCCATTTGCCTATTTCTTCTCTTGTGTATCTCAGTTTCCAGCCCACTGGTTTTTTAGGCCCAACTGGAGAGTTTGTAGCCTGACTACGACGTCCGCTTGGTACCGAGGGAGTTTGAAATTTGAAATTTTGTCGAATGTTGACCGAGTCAGGTTGCTTCATCTCTACCCAAAGGTTTGGCTCATTGATCGGACGCAGGGCTTTCATCAACCTCCACCAGTCGTCCGCTTCAAAACCCTCGGGAATGAAGATTCGGTTGAACCTTTTACCTTTTTACTCCAAAAGGACTAGAAACCTTTCGTTCGTGTTTCAACAGAGGGCTACCCAGAGTGTGTGATTTAAGTCGTTGATGTGTTCCCTCCAGAAGATGCCCCCTTTGTACCAACAAAATCGCTCAGTGCATCGACGAGCCAGTCAACATCTTTCTTACCCAAGGATATCGTGACTCCGAACCCACGTCCATTTTCACAAATCCAAAGGCCATCGTGCTTTCTTTCGTTTCTGATAAACATCAACGGACTTCCGATCCACCAGAAAATTTTTTTTGTTAATATTGTTTGCCATTGAAAGTTTCGAACGGCCAGCCATTCAGTTGACCCGAAGGGATGGATTAGTAGATCTCGAGGGGTGAAAGCGACCT